CACGTCAGACAAGTCCTGCAACGCCTCCTGGAGAATCGGCTGTTTGTTAAAGGGGAGAAGTGCGAGTTTCATGTGAGTACTGTGTCATTTTTGGGCTACATCATCGAACGGGGCGATTTAAGAACCGATCCAGCTAAGGTACAAGCAGTCTTAGACTGGCCCACGCCGCCTAACCGTAAGCAGCTTCAACGGTTCCTCGGTTTTGCAAACTTTTATCGGAGGTTCATTCGTGACTACAGCAAGATTGCTTTGCCACTAACCCGTTTAACTTCCCCTAAGGTGCCTTTCTGCTGGGATGATCAGGCTCAGGAGGCTTTCTCCCGGCTAAAGAAACGTTTCGCGTCGGCGCCCATCCTCCGGCAACCGGATCTCAAGCGGCAGTTCATCGTGGAGGTGGACGCCTCGGATGTAGGGGTCGGAGCAGTTCTCTCCCAGCAACTAGACGGTAAGCTCCACCCTTGTGCTTACTTCTCTCGTCGTCTCTCTCCTGCAGAGCAGAATACGACATCGGGGACAGGGAGCTGTTGGCAATCAAACTCGCCCTGGAGGAGTGGCGCCACTGGCTAGAGGGCGCAACAGAACCCTTTGTGGTATGGACTGACCACAGGAACCTCGAATACATCCGGTCGGCTAAACGACTAAATGCCCGACAAGCCAGGTGGGCTCTGTTCTTTACCAGATTCTGCTTCACCATCACCTACAGGCCCGGCTCCCGGAACGTGAAACCCGATGCCCTTTCCCGCCAATTCACCACCTCAGAGGACCCCACCCGTGAGGCTCCCATTCTCCCTCCCACGTGCGTTATCGGAGCCCTGTCATGGGAGATCGAGTCCGCCATACGGGAGGCCCAGCGGGCGGAACCGGATCCAGGTACTGGTCCCCCGGGATTGCTCTTTGTTCCCACGTTGGTTCGCTCACGAGTGCTACAATGGGCCCACGGCGGAAAACTCACCTGTCATCCGGGCAGTTCATCGCACCGTCACCTTCATCAAGCGGTTCGCCTGGTGGCCTACACTGGCCAAGGACGTCCAAGACTTCATCGCTGCCTGTCCAACCTGTGCCCAGAATAAAGCCTGGTCAACCAGCCTGCTGCCGGCCTACTTCATCCCTTGCCTACGCCAAGCCGCCCCTGGTCCCACATTGCGGTTGACTTTGTCACTGGTCTTCCGCCGTCATCAGGTAACACAGTCATCCTCACCGTTGTCGACCGTTTTCTCTAAAGCTGCCCACTTTGTCGCTCTCCCCAAGCTCCCCACTGCCCTGGAGACCGCCCGGCTTCTGTCAACTCATGTGTTTCGCCTCCACGGGATCCCTGCTGAAGTGGTCTCGGACCGAGGCCCACAGTTCACGTCACGTGTTTGGAGGGAGTTCTGCGCCTCCTTGGGGGCCCAGGTTAGTCTCTCGTCAGGTTTTCATCCACAGACCAACGGTCAAGCGGAACGGGCCAACCAAGAACTCAAAACGGCTCTCCGTTGCTTGACGTCCACTAATCAGACCACCTGGAGTGAGCAACTGACGTGGGTGGAGTACGCTCACAATAGCCTTACCTCGTCGGCCACAGGCGTCTCCCCGTTCGAGGCCTCCCTGGGGTACCAACCTCCCCTGTTCCCTGCCATCGAAGGTGAGCACTTTGTGCCCTCTGTTCAGCAGCACCTGCGGCGGTGTCGGCGCGCGTGCGCCACTGCTCCTTCACGGCGACCGAACACGCAGGCTCCCCAGTCTGCCCGCCTCTCACTGCGAAGTTTGGCTTCACCGTATGTGCCTCTCAGGGGAGTCGAATCTCCCCTCTTCGCCCGTCGAGTGACTCCATTGTTACCCGTTCTGTGCGCTAGCTCCCGACACTTCCACATGATGTCTGAGACAACCTATGTTCCAGCTCGTCCCTCTCGGCCTCCGCGTCGCTGGCGCCTTCCCTCCGAATGCGTCCGCCGGCTGGCCTCGCTTGGCTGGGAGTGCATTGAGCTTGTCGCGGGTGGACCGCAGTCGCGGTGTGGCCCTGAAGCCTGGGGAGTCCGTGCGGACGACACCGTCGCAAGGCATGCAGCTCTCTCCCCCCTGTGGGCAATCAGGTTCACGCTCGCAGCCCTCCCGGACGAGCCAAGCCGCTTAGAGAATCAGCTGTTCAACGCTGGATTGTTGTGAAGACTCCTAGTCAGTACACGTCGAGCCCTAGTTTCCCACACTTCCGCCTCAGAAAGTTAACATTGTCTCTCTGTTCTAGATTCCCCGGACCCGTCCCCGTGTTTCCCCGTGTGGAGTCGTGTAAGGGACGGTCATAGGGAGAGTTGGCGTGACGGTGATTCCCTTTTCTGACCTGGAACTGCTCTCACATCTTGTATAGCATCACGTCGAATACACTGGGACTAAAACGTCTGTAAAACAAGATCCTGCGAGTGGATCCTCAGAGCAACCCGTGACAGAACCCATGTATATTCATGTAACCTCAATAAAAGAGCAGTGTTACGGGGGAGCGGACGAGAGCGACTGGGGTCAAGCGAAGGAACGGCGCTTGTCGTGGTTCTCTCCCTCATGCATGAGTAACATAAAGAACTTTGCCTACTTGGTGTTCAATGCTTTTGCTGTGTAGTTAAATTGTCTCGTTCCAGCGGTGGGACTGTGCTAGACAGACCCAACACACACCTTACCCCTTTTCTCCCACACTACCACACACAACAGTGTGATTCTCAAAGTGCGGCTCAATAAACAAACAAAGACTCTAAAGTCAGAACAGAAAGATACAGTTGGAAGATTGGAGATTAATGTTTGTGTTTTTATGTGTAGTAAACTATCCCCTCTTCTATGTCTTGTTGTGTTGTGTGTACCTTAGAATTCAAACTATACATTAACCATAGTTATAAAAAACATTTTGAATTTCATTCAGAGATGTCAAATCTACGACCCTTTACTGGCACAGCCTCACACGCTTTGATGTTTTTGTGTATAATGGTTTAGCCACAAACATAATTCCCACTACTGGATAAAGATCACTGTATCTTCATGCTTCTTATGAAATTAAGCGTGGCACATCTTTATTAAATTAGTATTTATTAATGCCTACATAATAATAGTAATAATAATGCACACTATGTACTCTGTGACATTAAGGTTCAAGAGTTTGGTACCAAGTTGTTGTTTTTTTCCCTTTGTTTTTGTTTTTTGTCTTTTGCCATCTTCTGTTTATCACCCAGTGTTTAAATTGGTCAATAATTTTAAGCCAAACTTTCCAGGTTGTATGAATGGCAAGAATGTTTCTAAATTTTGTGACTCAAAAGTGAACGATGTGAAATACATTTAATACATGAGTTATTAAACAGTTGAAAAAGATAGTGTGAGGGCCATAATACTTTATACAGGTCAAATATTTCAAGAATCATATTTCTCAGTGTTTCTTGTTGATTTACCAATATATTCATGAGAGTTCTCTGCAAATGTTTGTGAATAGCACTAATATGCAGTGTGTAACTTACATGCATTTAAAAATTGCGATCAAGTTAACAATACACTAAAATTATGAATAACTTTAAGCTTGTATTCCCTTCCACTTCTGTTTCTTCTTTTCAATGAAGACTTTTCATGACCAAGAGTAAACAGTAACTGCGTAGAAGTCACAAAACATCTTCACATTTCAATCCAGGGGAGTATTTTTGATACAATAATTAGGCAGAGATTAATACATCACAGATGCTACGATTTATTTGTTACAGTTCAGGACGGTAGCACCAAACAGTGCTGAAAGTTAGACCATAGTTCTCCTCTCTAACAGACTCAGGCAGCTCAAACTGGGCAAGCTGATGCAACAGCTGTCGGATGCTGTGACTCTCAAATTGGGCTCTGCCGGGATCTCCGATAAGTACTTTAGTGCCATGGACTCTGACACAGCTGTCCAACCAGCTGTGAAGGTGAGTGGCGAGGGCCTCATCGTAGAACATGTCACCTAAGAGGATCAGGCTGAAGGCGTCGGGTTCTGAACCAATCATGTTTGTCGTCAGACAAACAGGTGGTTCCAGCCCGTTCAGCTCACAGTTCATTTGGGTCGCAACAGCTGCAACTGTAACACAAACCAGTAGATTTAAGGCTTCTACTGCAAGATATGGTAAAATACTATAACAGCTTCAATAGTATTTAAAAATAACTATTTTGTTAATGTTATCCTCCTGTGTATTTGCTGTTATAAAATGCAAAATCTAATAAATACTTGAATTATAAAAAAAATGTTATCCTCCTGTTTGGCATCATCTATTAGCCTTTTTTTTTTTTTACTTTAAATGCCAGTAGTAGTGCAAATGTATCACCACCAATAATTCTAGACAACACACAGGAAAAAGTATTAATTTCTTTCAGATAATGCAAAAAGCTACAGCAAAAATGCAAAACTGGACATAAATCATAATTTAAAATAATCTAGAGTCAGAATGACTTTTGAAATTGGTCATACATGTGGATGTCTAGAGGGTGTCAATGGAAAATTGTACTTAGTAGTCAGTATAGTCTTTTAATGATATAAGTTTGCATATGGTAGAATACTGCATGTAATCATTTGTGTTTAGAAGTATATAGTTGGTGGCATATTGAAAGAATGTCTCATCCTAGGAGGTCTGTAACATTCCAGGGTGTTCTGGTGTTCACCCCCACATCCTAGGAGTATGGGAGAGGTCGTACCTTGTCTTATTGTTTTACGGTAGGATTAACGTAGCTATATCTGTTCTAGTCTAAGTGCTTTTTGTTTAGATGAACTGCTGGACTTCCAGTCCAGCAGGTTTAGGGAAGTCGTTATGGGGTCACACACACACACACACACAAGCACCCACTGAAGTATAAATAAAGACCGGGGCAGTTTCTCAGTGCGAGTCTCAGTTCTGGAGGCTGCCCTTGCTAGCAAGAAATTCTGTGTGTTTCTCTTCTCTGATTCTCTACTGAAGAAGTGTTTTAGAGTACATCTCTTAACAGAGGGATAAAGTGTATGTCCTTGCAAAGCGTAAATAATACACATGTGAACCATTTTAACAACAAACCTGCTTTCTCGTAATTCCTGCTTTTTTATTTAACAGTTCAGAAACATTCAGCAACAATAACAAATTATGTGAACACATAAATAAATACACACAAATGCGTACCAGTGTCAACGTCATTAGCTACTACGTGAGCAGCACCACGCAGTGTTGCAGCAATGGCTGAGGCTCCACAGCCGCTCCCCAGATCCAGGACTGTCTGATTCCGGCACACCTCAGGGTTATCTAAGATATACCTTTAATAGGAAGTCATTAAAGAAAAACAAACGATTTGTTATCAGAAATTGCTGGACATCAAAAACTACACTAGCTAGCGCTTTATTAGGTGCACCTTCTTTGTAGTCTATATTGTGATGACAGTATCATAAAGTTGCTGTAGATTTGTCAGCTGCAAACACATGACGTGTGTGGGAATAAAGAAAATATTTTACTGCTACACATAGCTTTCATCATTATCATTGCATTAAAACGTTCATTAAGAGCTACTGGCATTAGATTAAAACTTATATTAAAGGTGCGGCTATAATCATTTTATACACACATTGCAGGTTGTGCTCATGAAAGAGTTGATGCTCAGTCTATTTAAAGTTCTTAAGTTTCGTTTGGTGCGATGTCCCGACGATCCATGGTGTAAGTGACTTGGAGCAATAGAAGGTTAACAAGCATACACGCTTACAAACATAAATGATTTTAAAGAAAGGCCAGGCCAAAGGCCTGGAATTCATTTTGCTTCTAACTGCATTTGAGTTTGCCTAGTAACAGGTGACAGAAGAAGAGTCGAGAAGGTTGCAAACCCTCAAGGACCATCTGGAGGGTGAAACAAATTGCCATGTATGGAAGAATGTGATAGAAAGAGGAACTTCTTTGTCTGTTTTTATCTTTTTAAATTGACCATTTACTGTAACTGATGCATGTCATATTCTTGTTAATGCATGACGGAGCGGAAAGCCTGATGTCTTAAAAGCATTCTGAAGTGTATTTTTGGGTGAAGATCTATGCTGTGTTGCAGTGTACATACATGATACTCATCTGACAGGAGTGCCACCTGGTGTGGTCTTCTGCCGCTGAGTGTTCAGCAATGCTCTTCTGCATATGCCAGAAAGTTTATTCTGTTCTGTTAGAAATAAAATTTTTAATAAAGTTTCTTTTTAACATGAATTTCAATGTATGGTTATAATAGAGTCGGTACACTCGTTATTAGAAAATTGCAAGTATTTAACGCCATGGTGTGAAGGGTTGGGCGTTGAAGGTAGACTGGTACACACTAACACTAATACAGATCACAATCAGAGAGAACCTGCCTTAGGAATGGATGGCGGTTATGGTAGGATGGTGTTTCTGTGCTGGCGATGGCACAGAAACTGTAAGGTTAAAGCTGACACCAACGTAGAGGAAAACATATAGATATAAAACATGTCAGGTAACAACTGTAGAGGTATGCGGAAGGCCCATGAAGCTTGGTTTGAACTTCAGCAGGTCGTCTTGACCACGTCTACATGCCTAAATGCTCTGAGTTGCAGCCATGTGAATGCATTATTAGATATCTGTGTTAACGAGCAGTTTAAGGCGTGTACCTAATAAAGTGACCGGTTAGCCATGGTTGTCATCTTACCTCGACAGTGCCTGTCCCCCTGGCCAGTATATAGCCCAGTAGGGGTCATCAAAGGGCCATAACTCCGGTCTCTCTCGCCAGAATCTGCATCGGGGGGTGAATAACCTCAGCCTGATCTCAGGAGTCAGGCTCTGCTCTCCTGTTATCTCCGTGTTTTCTATAATAAACTTCCTGATGTGCTCAGCAGATGGGCAGACATTTGAGAGGTATCTGTGTCCTTGTGTCTGCGTAAACACTTTGTAAATAAGTTTACCATGGCGGCTGCATTGCAGGGGCATTAAAAGCGCTGCTGACATTATAACAAAGCAGAGATAAAAGCAGCTAGACTAACGTTAGCGGGGCTTTCAGTCCCATTAGCCTCATAACTGCATTTTTGGAGAGGCTTTTACTATTTCTCGTTGAAGCTAACAGTTGTATCCTGTTATTTGTAAAGCGTGACTCTTCAAAACCTTACAATGGTGCAACAATCAAGTTAACAAGGTTAACAGATAACACGATTCTTGCTGCTTCCCACACGAATGCAAAACAAGGTCGGACGAAGCTTCCTTCGACCGTCTGGAAACAACACACAGACTCTCGGTTCCGTTCAAAACAATTCCTACCAAAGTTAAAAAAGACCAATAAGACCAATAAAATCACCTCATTAAAGCAATCTTCTTAAAACATAAGTGGTTTATATGCAGTATTAATGTAATTTTAGCTAATGATAGGCGTGCATTTATCACCTATTTATGGGATATATAGTGTTTTTCTCTCTCAGTCAGTGTAATTGGGTTTGTGGACACGCTATTCCAAGTAATGCATACCTCCCCTGTCAGAGCATATTAAAGTATAAAAGTGGAACTTGACCAAATTAATTTTAAAACAGTAAAACATAATTAGAACATATATATGGGTGGGAAAACCGTGATTGTCTTGAACAATTAAAGGTTTCTGCTCATTATTAATGTTTCCTTTTTTTAATTGAATTAGAAATTGAACAGATTCATGTTGGTCTATGTAACTCAACTTCACTGATCCTATTTTACCTACTGGTAAAAAGCCCATTTTTTACCAGTTTATACAGCTCATAAGGGACAGTTTTGCAGTTTTTCTTTCACCTGATGCATGCATATTATGTCTCTCTGTCCATCTTAGACAGACATATCACAGCTATTACTTTTGTTCCTACTGGATTTAGAATAAACTTTAGATCAGGGAACATTTCCTGATCAGGATGCAATTCTAGGTGGCATCTAGGATAAAAAAGTCAAAATGAGATTTGATGCCCTGCACATTACTGATCACTATTTGTGTGTAAAATAAGTAATGATTAATCAGTGGCAGCTACGTTTTGCAGGACCTGGTCATGTACAGCTGCTACCAGTCTCCTGCCACCTGACACTAGATGTTACACTAAAGGAGAAACAGCAAATTAGTCATAGGGATGTGCAACCTATCTCCAGCTGCGGCTTAGCCCTTGTGGCCATCTGTCAGGTGACTCAATTATGTCAATTAGCCAGTCTTGGGCTAGGGAAAAATAATCTCGGCAGAATTCATAAAACAAAAAACAGTTAGGAGTTTGCACAACAAAATAAGACGTTCAAAACAAATAAAAACGAAGCCATTCAAAACCTTTAAGACATAAAAAGTTAAACCACAATACGAAATAAAAACATGCAAGTCACAGAGGTCGCCTGGTTGAGGCAGTGGCCCATGTGCTGAAGGCTACAGTCCATATTGCATGCCCTGGGTTTGAGTCTCAGTTTGATACTCAGTTTGAGGCTTCCTCAGACTATTTGCTGTGTCATTTGCCTTGCCTATTGTCCTGCACAGTCATTACCAATAAATGGGGTGATCGTGGCTCAAGAGTTGGGAGTTCGTCTTGTAATCGGAAGGTTGCCGGTTCGAGCCCTGGCTCGGACAGTCTTGATCGCTGTGTCCTTGGGCAAGACACTTCACCCGTTGCCTACTGGTGGTGGTCAGAGGCTGCTAGTGTCCGGCAGCCTCGCCTCTGTCAGTGCGCCCCAGGGTGGCTGTGGCTGCAATGTAGCTTGCCAGCACCAGTGTGTGAATGGGTGGATGACTGGATGTTGTAAAAATCTCCCAATTCTTTTAATCTTTGGGCTGAAGGAAGGACAATACTCAGTGTATAAATGCTCAATCAACAATCATTTATTTCCATACAATTCAACACTTAAGAGCATAAGAACGTCCGGACGGGAGAGATGCTTGCAGAGGGTCACAGCATGTCTCCAAATGGTGACGGGTTACTCAGCTTCTTATAGCCTCTAGTGGCCCCCATCTAGTCGTAAAAGCCTAAATATTCACATTCTTTCTCTGTTACGGTGCCTAAGTTATGACCTCGGCTCCCTGTCTTTCTGCTCTCTGTAAAGGTGGGGGTATGGAATGTGGTCTGTCTCCCCTGTCCTAGACGCAGAGCCTCCTGCATACAACCTTTCTTTTCATGATTCAGCAGTAAAACATGTCAAGAACACAGTGTGAGACATTCACAGCAGATCAAGGATACAGAGTGATGCACACTTTATCTAATGAACTACAAAATGAATATGTTCTTTTAACCCAAAAGTATAATGAGAACTAAACTACATACACAGCACACCATCTAAACTAAAGGAAATTGTATGACCTACAGCAGTTAACATACTTCAACTACTTTAACTACAGATATAAGATAACATATGATAACAGAATAATCTCACAATGTGTAAAGCGCTTTGGGGTCCTTGGACTAATAAAGTGCTATACAAATACAGGCCATTTACCGCAAAAGCCTCATGTTCTAAAAACTCTTTATCTTACAATTCTTTCTTTCTTTCAAAATCAAGTTTTTCACCATCTTGATGGACAATGAGCCACACAATCAAAGCTATTTATATGTTGTCTCACCTCTAATTTGCAGGTAGAAGACAGCTTCAGAAAATATAGACTATTTTTGCAAAACAGAGGATAAAATGTACAGTAATATGAATAGGATTTATAAAAAGAAACAAAAAGATTAAAATTAATAATAAAAAACATCAATAATTAACATGATAAAAGAACAAAGCATTTTGCCCAGCATCCCGGTCATGTTTGCAGTACAAACTAAAGCAAGTGCTTTACGTAGTTAACTTCGCTAAAGTATTTACTTCAAATGAATAGAGTGAAAAACAACAGTGCGTATATGATCGGGTGGTTTACTGAGACACAGTCATACATTATGTGCAGTTTATCTGGTGGCAGAGGGGACTGCAGCCCGAGGCTTCAATTATGGCGCCTCTTATGTTCTCATCTTGTGAGAAAGTATTGCTTTTTGATGGAGAAGGTGGAGGAGTCCTAATGGATAGTTGTCTTCTTGTCATTGAATTTACCCAGACCTGACCCCTGTGGCCTAGACTGGCACACCCACAGATCTGCTCGGGGATTGTGTTTACAGATGGCTGCTGTCTATCACAGCTAGCGGGTGTAGCGAGTTGATTTCATATTGGAATTGCAACCTTGAGGCCCCGGTCTATGAGTCAGTGTGGAAATGGCGCAGCAATTTGATCACACTCTGCACACGGAGAAGATCACATATACCTTTGTTCTCCATTATACTGGCTGTGCTTCAGACATCTTTTTATAGCATCATGTATGATTTGCTTGTTCAACAGACCTGAAATTTAACAGTTTAAAAAGCAATTCATAGCCTCTGTTCACTGAAACAGGAAGATACTTTTGGCACATGGGAATGAGAATTCAAAGCAAAAGGTTTTCTGTTTTTAGTAATGTATACACAGAGCATGAAGAAAAAACAAGAAAAAAATGACAAGAATGAGAACAGACAACAGAATCGAGTTGATAAAGTCTACTAGAAATGTTTCCATTATAATTTTTGTGATGTTTGGCTTCTTTTTCACCGAGTTAATCACAGTTATGTTAGTATGAGAAGTGCTTTCTACAGCTCTCCCAGCAAAAACTCTAAACTGTTACAGTAGTTAAGTGTTTTTAGGCTTAAAGGTTAAATCCTGACAGCGCAGCCAGACCGGAGTCAGTTCAATATGAGTATCAAGCCTCTATTCTTTCCATCCAACTTCTTCCTCCACTCTGAAATGCAACATTACTCTTCATCCTTTCAGATTTAAAACTATTCATTTATTGTTTGATGCACTTTTCTTCTGCCCAGCTGGACTAATGACACCTGTAAATTATCTCCTCCCTTTTGATGAACTCTAGAACTCCACAAGTGGCATTCCAAAGGGAAATAAAGGTACCACTCCTGCATGATGAACTCCCCCAGTAAAAGCAAAACCTCCCAAAGAGGATCATCAAACCTTTCATCAGTGATATTGCAATGAAACCTCCACCCTTTGAGTGCTGGCTATAAATTTCCTCTGTGTCCTCCTGTCCCATTTCCCAGGGGTTTGCAGGAGTGCAGACTGCAAAGTACAACGTGTCTTTACGGCCTGAAACCTCTTTTCTTTAAAAAGAACCTGAACCAAAGTAACATAAAATATGCAAAATAGTGTAACTGTACTTCTCAGAATGTCACGGTCACTGTTTTATCTCTCCATTAATCCCTCTATTTCTTGTATGTCTTTCCCCTTCCTGTGTATTTTTCTGGTCCCTGTTTCCTCTGTTGTTTTTGTGTGTATGGCATTGGCGCTCTAATCATTTACTGATGTGCAATCAACCTGCACACCTGATGCCCATCCACCAATCAAGCTCTGAGGCACATGCACCCTGTCTTCTCATCTGCTCCTCATCACTCTGTTGTGTCATGGCCAACTCTTCTCTTGTCTTTGATGAGTTTTGTAGACCTGTGTCGTTATCTAGTTCTCCTTTGTGTTGTGTTCCTGGACCGTGTTTCTATACTCTCCCGTCCAACTCTGCACCACTCAATCAGCCCCACTCTCAGCCAACTTCAGCCTGCCTGCCACTGCCAGCCACAATCTCCAGTCAACATCAGCTTCATTAGCATTGAACTGCAAAACTCTAATAAACTCTTCTCACCTCCTGATAGAGCTGAGTCAGAGTCCTATTTTTGCATCCACTGGCCTGTTTTGAATGTTTATAAGTTTAGTTTTAGGCAATTTGGTGTTTGTTTGCTCAAAAAATCTGGAGACTCAGGTAACACACACACCACTGTGGGGCCCCA